CAAACTGGCATTGGTAGAAGGTTGAGTGGTTCATACACTCTACAAAAATCTCCGACCATGGTAGAGACGAGATACCTGATAAAGTCACTGATGACATCACTGTAGTTACCATCCCATCTGTCTGGTACGATGGGGTGGTATTTCATGGTGAAAAGAAGGACGTGAGCGAGGTGACCACCAACATTTACCCCATCCCTGCGATTATGTCCATGGCATGCACATCGTAGTACCGGACTGTGTAGCCCACCACCTCCTCGCAGAACACATGTCACAATTATGCTCTCTGCCTCAAAGTTCGCGCAGATGTGTGGCATCCACATGGCGGCTGAACACTGTCTCTGATACGACGACGTCACTAGTCATCGCTCCCTCTCCATTGGTTGCACTTTGTTGTCACCGTCGAGTTCGAATGCGTGGTCGCATGTACCACACTATGGGCAACTTGCATCGCCCTCTCCACCCTCTTGTGATGTATGCCTGCGCGGCCGCGCTTGTGATCACAACTCCCTTTTTGTCACTCACTCATTCTCTCTCTCTCTCTCTCATCATCCCCACCACCCAACGCAAACATCACCTCCCTTTCTGCAACACTCCAACCGGATATGTCCAGATTCCACATGTTAGCAACGTCGTGGCGAAATGGAAATAGAGAATGGCGGTGTTGTGGCGAAATGTGGACTCCGATTGTGAAATTTCACTTGCGGTGGAATGGTGTTCCCTTCCTCTGTATAACTTTTTTAATGAAAAAACAAGGGGTGTAACTGACAGGGAAGGCAAGCATGCGGTGGTGATCATATACGCGAGATTGCACGTTAAGTGATCGAACGAAAGAAAAAAATTGCAAAAAAAAAAACAAAAAATTAAAAATTAAAATTGTCGGAGTTAAAGCGACGGGGAAAGATTATATATGCTAAGAAGAAGTGACCTCTTATGCGGGATGTCGACCACGTACTTCGGCCACTGTTACCTTACAAGGAACAATATGGCAAAAACTCCAAACCAAACTGGAGAAGAAAAAAGTTGGCTCCCAATATGCACACAAGTGGTGGACATACCGCTCGTCCCGGTTTCAGACCGTGCGCGTGTGTGTGTGTGAGTGTGTGGGTGTTTGTGTGTGTTTGTGTATGTGTGTGTGTGTGTGTGTGTGTGTGTGTGTGTGTGTGTGTGTGTGTGTGTGCGTGTGTGTTGCTATCGCCGATCGAGCATTAGGACATGTCTGCTTGTCGGCACGTGCCTTTCGGTCGATTGTCCGCGCTCTCGTGCTTGAAGGACAAGAGTCCGGAGTAGGGGGCGACGCCCCTTGGCCACACTGCGGAGTAGGAAAGGCTTGGGCATCCGACCCATCGCATGACATGCTCACTGGGTGCTCGAACATCACTAGAGAAGAAAATGGATCCGCTGTAGATCTGAAGCCGCACGAGGGAGCATTGTCGAGAGGCACGTACAGAGCTGCATGTGACGGTCCCCTTCCCCTTCCCTCATCATCGAACCACGATCGTTCGAAGTAACCACCCCCTCTATAGTCCCTGCAGTCGTTGCATTGTTGATAAAATGATGGCTGGCCAGACATGGTTGCAAACTTCCCCGTCGAGTGCTTGAACCCTTGTGCCAGACTGACAACTGTAGACAACACCAACAACGGAGGAAGAGGAATGTAGCTCACAGGAGGCAGACGCCCATGGTTTGCGGAATTATTGTTTCAAAATGGGAATGCCCCGTAACACCCGGGTTACATAGTGGTTGGGCGTCTACCGTCAATGTCAAAAGGAGAAGATGGCAACCCCATGGTTAGCTGACTCTCGAAGCATCCGCACTTCTCTCTCTCGCCACCTGCCCTCTTGCGAAGATCGTCTGTGCTCTTGCGTTGCTGCAACCACCGACAACTATTGTTGTCATCCATGGTCTCCATCTCCCGATGCTGCACCCTGTCCTCTCACAGTCGTATACGTACATGTCTATTTATCGATCTATAAGTTTATCTATCTATTTAGCCCATCTATCTATCTATCTATCTATCTATCTATCTATATATCTGTCTATATATCTATCTATATTTTTTTTTTATATATCTATTTGTATATCTATTTATCCAACTATCTATCCATCTATCTATCTAAATATTTATCAATATATCTATCTATATATTTATTTATATATATATCTATTTCACAAGCGGTTATCGGGTAGCTGAAAATTCAGGAATGAAAATTCTGAAGTAAGAGTTTTGGGCAGTCTGAAAATCCTGAATGGTCTTGAAGTGGTGAAAGGTCCGAAGACCCTGAAAACCACCTGTTTAGGCAGGCTGCATCCTGAAGTGGTGAAGGGTGTCCTGAAGTGGTTAAGTGAGAGTTTCTGACAGTCTGAAAATCCTGAATGATCTTGAAGTGGTGAAAGGTCCGAAGACCATGAAAACCACCCTTCACCACTTGAGAATGCAACCTGCCTAAACAAGTGGTTTTCATGGTCTTCGGAGTTTTCACCACTTCAGGACCATTCAAGATTTTCAGACCTGAAAAGTTATGAAGTGGTGAAAGGTCCGAAGACCCTGAAAACCACCTGTTTAGGCAGGCTGCAACCCCAAGTGGTGAAGGGTATCATGAAGTGGTGATGAAAAATACGACCGTTGTTAACCTTCTCTCATCTATCTTTGTCGTCTATCTATCTATCTATGTTCCCATCCATCCATTTATCTATCTATCTTTCTTTTTGTCTATCAATATACACATCTATACACCTTAATTCTATTCACATATCTGCGTTTGCACATGCGTTACAAACCCACATGGCGCGCATCATCGACGTATCAGAGAATACAAAGCGACAAGACTTGCAAACGTGAACACAACAACGTTTGCAACCATGAACATGACAACACCGAAGAGCAGAACGAAGACAACGAATAAAAATGTCTTCCTTGCAATCGTGACCCTCATGCGAACCTTGAACGATAACGACTGTAGGAGGACAACATCGAGAACAACAACACACGCATGGAAACCATCGCTGCTCACGAAGCGACTAAAACTTGCATGCCACACCTTCACGGTTTCTAACGACACACCCGTGGGACGATCTGTCACACAGGCAGTGCATGTGTTAACACCCATCAACCAGGGGGGACGAACTTGCCACCCACAACCTCCCCATCCGCCAAAGACCGCCAAACCAAACCCACTGTCCCACCATCTGTTGCCAACATGCACACCATCGCCAACTCTCGACAATGGCCAGCCGAGAAATGTTGAGGGGAGGAAAACTAGCAGCTTCTCGCACAGTGCACCCTCTTGAAAGCTGCTAACCTTCGTCGGCCATAACACGCGTATACGACTCTGCCAATCCACGTTTGTAACACAACGCCTGGCCTGCCGTTCACACCCCTCAGAGCTTGGCTTGGGGAGACGAAGCAGCCGACCCGCCCACGATGTGTGTGTAGCACTTACAAATGACATGTACATCGCTATGGAGGATGACCTTTCTCGCACTCTGCATGGGAACAACCTACGTCACTGTTGTATATCGGCCCCACGGCTGGACAAGGAAAATTTGGGGCGAGCAATAAAATGGAAACCAAAATCTTGCGGATCTCCCCAGCCCACTGGTCCGAACGCAGGACCACTATATTTCCACTCTGCAGGATGCCAATTTCCGTCCGCATGGGCAGGAGTAGTATGCACCCGAGAGGTAGGACCAAGATTTGGAAAACGGGTTTTTAGGTCCATGCAGGAAAAAAGGGGCCGTGAATGGAGTGAAAACGGTTACCGGCCGTCTTCCGCGACGAAGATATTGGTCTGTGGGGTTCGGGAAGTTGCCCCGCGACTTCCGAAACTGTTTGCTGCCGTTCTGTGGGATCCCTACCTAAGAAAGATAAAAGAGAGAGAAAAAAGAAAACAATAACATTCATAATGTGACCATGTTAGCGGTAAGATGCATTCTATGGAGGGAGACTGTGAGCATGGCCTCCTAGATGGCCCTGCCCAACATTCATTGCAGTAGAGAAAGCATTTTCTTTTTTTTTTCTTTTCCATTCACGCGCCGGCAAATATAAAACAAAGATTTTTGGGACTTGCCGACCCTGGGTCCCACCCCTGAATTCTTTGGGAACGGGTGTTTTGACCTAATTTCCCAACGCTGACAGAGGTACCAGTGGTTTAAGCCCAACCAAATCAATTGCCTGTCGAATCTGGACAGGACGACTTTTCAGGCCTTTTTTATTGTCATTATAGTATTACAGAGAACCCCGTAGCAGCCACATCCGTGCTCAAGCCTCCAACAAGGGAACATGCGGGAGCTGCACCCGCCTGCAGGTGCGATACCTGCTAGAGCAGGCAGGTGGGCGATACTGGCCAGGGGTCAGCAGGTAGCATCAGGACCGAGCTTCTTCAATGGGCCAGTTGCTCTGCCTCCCCTCTGGTCCCCTCCCCCTACGGACATCAGCGGTCACTGCTCAGTGCCGCCTGATGGGACCAACGACCAACGGCCTATCTCTAGGTGGCAGGCGCCAAGGTTGCCCAGAAAGGTACATGAGGCCAACGGGGTTTGAGCCCAAGACCTCCTGAATGCCACTTGCATGCCTCGCCAACCGAAGGCCTTAGCTCAGTTGCTTCACCCATGACCCGTTGAAATGCAGAGCCACACTTCTGAACTAACTACCAGTAGGTCAGTTAAAATGATGATATCTCACGGCCGTCGCTCTTTATAAAATAGTAACAAGGGAAAAGGAAATAAACAACGCTCGAAATGGTCCAAATTACTGTTGAAAAAGACGAAAAGAAAAAAGAAATGGTCCAAATTACCGAAACGGTCCTGCTGATTCGGGAAACTGGTTCGGGTGTCGGGAAACTGATACTCGGGGAAGGTTCGGCGATGATGTGTCTTTTTGTGGACTAGTTGGGGCATTTTTGTCCTCCTCGCCCGTCTTTCTCAGATATAGCATATGCTAGACAGCAGAGGACTGTGCGATCGACTAGAAATGTCCTCACCCGCGGAAGATGTGGAGGGGACCCAGGGGGGGAGGGGGGAGGTCCGTAGGGGTGTTCACTTGTCTTTGTGTGGGAGGGTGGGAAGAGTAGCAGTGAAAGGAAAATACGCAGAGAGACAGACCTAGATTAGGAGGAGATCGATCACCATTGGTGTCCCACCATCGCCCCAGCGAAGAACGTGTGTGCCTGCTCGCCTTCGTGTTTCTGTGTGTGTGTGTGTGTGTGTGAGAGAGAGAGAGAGAGAGAGAGAGAGAGAGAGAGAGAGAGAGAGAGAGAGAACCAATTGTGACAGCGAAGGACGCGTGTGCTCACTCGCACTCTTGCATTTGTGTGTGTGTGTGTGTGTGTGTGTGTGTGTGTGTGAGAGAGAGAGAGAGAGAGAGAGAGAGAGAGAGAGAGATGGAGGGGGGATGGAGACGGGGATGGAGAGGGGGAAAAGATGCTGGATGCACAGGAGGAACGGTCGGGAAAATGGAATCAGGAAGGAGATTGCCGTGTGGCCGGCCGTTAAACATTTTTGCGGACAGTGCTGACGATCTCCTTGGAGAGGGCTTGAAGGGGGTGTCCACCTCTCTCTCCCTCCTCTCTCTCGTTAGCCCCTACGCAGCTGCTGGCGCAACGGAGCAATGCAACCATTATCGGGAATGCCGAGAGGACGCTAACGGCAACGGCCGTCCTTTTTCTTGGGGGGGAGGAGAGTGTCAGGACGCAAGGGGGGAGCAATGGCAGCGCCGCCGCGGCCGCGGCGGCGGCGGCGGCGGGGGCGGCATCGGAAGAGAGGGGGGGGGGGGGGGGGGGGACGGGAGGGCGCCGCCCTTCGCCTCCTCTTCGCTGGCAGCCTTCAGTCCGCAGCAACAGCAGGACGCCGCGCAAAGGCGGCGCAGACTCGCGGCCGCCGCTGCCTTGTCCTCCATTGGGACGACGGGTATCTCCGCCGCCGTCGATTTGTCCTTGCATCACTGTTTCTCGCGCCACGTCGGCAGCAGCAGCAGCAGCGGTCGCGATCCCGTCGGGCGTAGCAGTAGCAGCAGCAGCCGTAGCTTCTTGAGCGGCGAGTGCTGGCGCAGCGCCTTGGGCGGCCTGCGCGGTTCCTTGCGCGATCTTCTATCGAACGCCGCCGGCGGCAGCGGCGGCTTCTTGGGACGATTACCCCATCATCTGCTGCTGCTGACGTCGTCAGGGGCGGGATCCCGACCGACGGTGGCGTCGCGATTCGCATCGATCTCGGCGTCGCTAGCGGCCGCCGTCGGGGGAGCAACAAAGGGAGCGCGGGCCGGGAGCGAAGCAGGGGCACCGGGAGGAGCAGGCGGCGGCGGCGGCGGAGGAGGAGGAGCAAATGCGAGACAACTACGCGATACCGCTGGAGGCGGAGATGAAGGAGGAGGGGGAGGAGGAGGAGGAGGATCAAGCGCCGCCGCCGGTGGGCGGCACTTGTTCGACGTTGCCATGACACTGGATCAGGTGTGCAAGAGACTTGAGGGCGTTCCTGTCTACACCGTCACCAATGCGTCTAACGAGTTTGTACTCATCTCCGGTAGCGACGAGAACAGCAGCAAATCGCTAGGGTTGTTCTGCTTCAGCCAGGATGACGCTGAAGCTCTGCTTGCGCAGGTTAAGGACCGCGAGCCTGGTCTTGGGAAGGGGGCGCGAGTAGTCGCCGTGTCTTTGGATAAGGTGTATCAATTGAGTGCGGAAGGGATTGCGTTCAGGTTTTTGCCAGAAGCGATGCAAGTGATGAACGCGCTGGAGCTGAAGGCCAAGGCCGGGGACTCCAGCAAAGACTTCGACGGGGTCCCGGTCTTCCAATCGGACAACCTCATCGTGCGGAGCAGTAGCAAACGATACTGCCCGCTCTTTTTGTGCAAGGAGGATCTGGACAACGCGCTGCGCAAAGCATTGAAGGCGCAGCAGCAGATCAATCCGATGATGAAGAATGTGACCACGGAGGTGCAGGTAGGGAGCTTGGAGGATGTTCTTAGGAGAATGGAGGATAAGGACGAAGGGTCGGGATGGGGAGACATCATCCTGATCCCGCCAGGCGTTGACGTCTCGACTTATCTAAGCCGAACCATAGCCGCGAAAGAAGGCCAAGTACCGACCACAGGGTCGGGATCTGCACCGGGAAACAGAGCCACGATTGTAGCGTAGAGAGATAGAGAGGTAGAGATAGGTAGAGATAGATAGATAGATAGAGAGAGAGAGAGAGAGAGAGAGAGAGAGAGAGAGAGAGAGAGAGAGAGAGAGAGAGAGAGAGAGAGCAGGGAGCAGGGAGGGAGCCTGGAGCATGTTCTTAGGTGAATGGAGGATCGGGATGGGGAGTGTCATCCGGATCCCGCCAGGGGTTGACGTCTCGACTTAACTAAGCCGAACCATAGCCGCAAAAAAAGGCCGAGTACCGACGACAGGGTCAGGATCTCCGCCGGGATACAGAGCCACGATTGTAGCACAGACACACACACACACACACACACACACACACACACACACACACACA